TGGGCCCTCCCCCAGCTGGGGAAGCATTGGAGCCAGCTGTCCCTGACCCCTACACTGAGTTTGGGGTGGCCCCACACTCAATAAAGGGTCTAGAAGGAGACAGCATGTGATGCCTTGTCTATGTGGTCCTTTGTCCTCAATCCCAAATCCCCTCCCTCCTGCCCTTGCCACTCTCCAACCCTGCTGCTGTTTGCTGAAGGGTGCAAAGGTCTCTGCTGCTGCAGAGGTCCCATCTGGCCACCGTCCCATGACAGGACAGTGCTGGAAGGGGGATGAGCCCTCCCACGAGTCCCTGCCCCCTTCTACCCCTGGGGTTTGCCATGAGGATGTTTCACTTTAGTGACCTCACAGGGAAAATGGATTTTACCCCCCCCAGTCTGGAGACTGGGAGGCTGGGTTTTACTTGGCTCCCCCAGAAAGTCAGGGCACACTCCCATCCTGGGATAATGGGGGTTACTGAGCCACATGTCTAACAGGGCAGGTGGCCAACGCTGGGTGCCCATGGGATAAATCCTCTAAGGGGCTGTGATCCAGATCCACAGTTTTTAAGGGGAGTGTCCTGGGGTGGGAGGAGACCACTCAAGACCAGGAGCCAGATCTGGGCTGCTGCCCCCTCCCATCCACACCTTTATTCCCCTGCACTGCCCAGGTGTTTGCAGAAGAGCTGCAGTCTCCACCAGCTCTGGGGCCCGAGGCACCACTGGCCGTTCCCCAGTCATCCAAGGTGAAGTTTCCCACAGAAGGCAGCCCCAGATTTGGAGATGAGCAGGGATGACAGTGGGAAAGAGAGCATCCCCCTTCCTAGGGCTCACCACTCCTGTCCCCTCTAGATGGGCTTCCTGGCGTATTCGCGGCGGAACTTGGAATCCACCCGCGTCAGGTACCAGGTTCCGGGGAACAGATCCGCCTGGGAGCCGTGGGGAGCGTGGTCGGCTGCAGGAAGAGGGCAGTGATGCTCAGCGGTGTCATGGGGTCCCGGTGAGGGGGTGTCACATCCCCCCAGCCCCACTCACCCAAGTGGTGGGTTTCCTCCCGTCGCTTCATGATCTCCGCGAAGTCCTGTGGGGCCACGCGCTTGCGAGCGTCCAGGCGAGCCGGCAGGTCGGCCAGGCTGGAGATCAGCTTGTCCAGGGGTGAGCCTGGCAACGGGCACCCCACGAGTGAGATGGCACTACTGGCGGCCCTGGGCCCCACAGCCCCACGCCGCCCTCCCTTCCCAGTCCCTCTGTCCCTTGGGGCTCACCCGGGGCTGCATCCTGTGAGACACGGAAGGAGAACATGCTGGCAGCCAGTCCCGAGCCATAGGAGAAGGCACCAATCCGGGAGCCAGCCAGGTCCTTGGCTGAGGACCTGCAGCAGGGGATTAGAAGGGTTAGAGGAGATTTGGGGTGAGGGGCATGCAGGGCTCTGGGGGTGATGTAGGGGGCTGCCTCCTTCACAGACAGGGGGGTCCTTGTGTCTCAGGGCCTCATTTCCGAGGGAGCGTGGCCCTGGAGTGCAGTGGTGCCAGGGACTAGGCTTTTGTTCCCCCCAGGGCCTGTCTGTTCCCATGGCTCCTTTCCCGTGGGGTCACTTGTTCTGTGGGTCATGACAACAGGGTTTTCATCCTCCCAGCAATGACAGAAGGGCTTTATGTGCTGGCCCAGCTCCAGCAAGCTGGGATGAAAAGGCTGGCAGGGAGATGGCACAGAGTGGGATGCATCCATGCTGGGGGTTGGGTGCAATGAAATTGTCAGGTCTCTGCTGAGGAGGGGGGAGATGAGGGCTGGCACCTCCCCCTCCAGCCACTCAGGGTCTGCCCTCCCCAAAATGACCTCCTGCCTCCGCTGAGCCAGCATTTTGGGGGACTTACTGTGACAGGAGGGAGGCCAGGCAGCCATACATGGACGGTGTGTACATGTTGCCGTTGCGGGAGGAGAGGAGCAGGGAGGATTTGGTCTTCTTGTTGAAGATGTCCTGGCTGGCTGTCTGGAATGCCTTTTCCACCTCCTTGCTGGTGTAGGTGTCCTCCAGCTTTAGACCACTGCCCAGAGAGAGGCTGGCTCAAACCTTGGACTGGCAAATCCCTGCCTGGGCTGAGGGATGGGGTACAGAGCACAGGGACCCACCGAAAAGACTCCAGCCCCTTGTAGAGGCCGGAGGCCGTGTCGGGGTTGGGGGAGGCCAAGAAGTCATTCAGCAGCAGCCGCCCCACAGACTTCTGCACCAGCTTGCAGAAGGGTGTGTGGAAGATGATGTACTTGAAGTCATCGAGGGTGAAGGGCCTCTGGATGCCGGCTGGAAGGCAACATGGGTCCATCAGCATCCAGGGGGATGGGATGGGCACCTTGGGGGTGCTGTCACTTACCCTGCTGCCACTGGCTCTCCGCCTTCCGTCGGTACACGGCGTAGCAGCGGTCCAGTGCCCGCAGGTAGCACTGGATGGAGAGCTGCCCATCCACCACCGGGTACTCGGAGGACAGGTCTGGCTTGTAGAAGTCATAGGCGTGCTCCATGTGGGTTCCCCGCAGGCCTGGGGGCACAGGGAGAGCCTGCTGTCAGGGAGTCCAATCACCAGCACCCAGGGGTGCTGCCTGCCATGCCAGTTTTGACATCCACCAGCTTCCCACAGGGATGTGGCTAGCCAGGCACCCTGGAGTACCCATCAGGGTCTGGCAGAGCCAGTGCTGCTGGAGCTGAGCAGCTCTGCCCAGGGCTGGGACATGGATGCATGGCCTCCAGGGACAGCACCCATCAACTGGCCATCCCCAGGGTCTCCTGACACTGACCTCTCTCCAGCACCAGTGGGGCGTTGGGTCCCACCAGCATGGCGATGGCACCGGCACCTCCCGTGGGCCGCGCGTTCCCCGTGGCATAGACGGCAATGTCCCCACACACCACCACGGCGTAGCGACCTGGGGGAGGAGAGGGGGACTGGCAGGGCCATCGGCAGGTGGAAGCCTCCACACCATGGCCCTTGTGTATTCCCATCTCCATGACGCCTGGTGTCACAGACAAGGTAAGCAAGAAACAGGGGTGATGGAGAGCCTTGGAGGGGCAGTGGCTCCCTTTGAAGATACCTGCCAGAGTATCTATGGGTTTCAGGCCACCTCCTGCCTCCTCCCCCTATTCCATGGCACCCACCCAACATCCAGCCCTGTGGCACAGTCCCTGCCTGCACTCACCATCCCAGGCGCTGGACTCCACCCAGGCAGCCGCGTTGAAGAGCGAGGCCGTGCCCCCGTAGCAGGCGTTGGTGGTGTCGATGCCCTCCACGTCAGTGTTGCCCGAGTCACGGAACAGCTGCATGAGGACAGTCTTGACAGCCTTGGACTTGTCAATGACGGTCTCAGTGCCCACCTCCAGGCGGCCGATGGCATCCCAGGAGAGGCGTCCTCGCTCCACCAGCCGCTGCACCACCGTCAGGCACAGGGAGTTGATGTCCTCGTGGGCAGCACAGAAGCCCATCTGCTTCTGGCCCAAGCCCTGTGTGTACTTGCCGGCCTGCACACCATCATATCTCTCCAGCTCCTCCTGCTCCACGTACTGGGCAGGGAAGTACACCTCCAGTGCCAGGATGCCCACGTCCTTGGGCCAGGCACCAGTTCCGGCAGCACTGGAGAGGCTGTGGGGCAGAGGGAGTGGTGACAGTCCCGTCATAGCATTGGGGACACAGGGGTGGTCCTGGGGAGATGCCAACAGCGAGCAGCCCAGGTTGGGAGCACCCCAAATCCCTACTAGTTCCCTGTGCCTGGCAGTGCTGCCAGGGAGGAGGGAGAGGATCCCCTTCCCCGGTAAGGTTTAAGAGCTCGGACAGCTCCCCAACCCTGCCCTGGCTACATCTCCTACGCGCCCGACCCGTGTGGATGCTCACCATGCCCTTTGCAAGGCCAGGGGGTGCTGGGCCCCCCGGGGTGCCTGTTCTGGCCCGGGTGGTGCCCACCGGGCCCCCCAGCAGCGAGCGGCACGGCCCACCAAGCGCAGCATCTTCGCCCCGGCCGCCGCACGGATGGAAGGACGAGCGGCGGGACAGACGGACAGCGGGACAGACGGACAGCGGGAAGGGCCCTACGTGGTGCTTTTATAAACTGCGTGGGCAGCTCGGCACAGCCCTCCCGGCCTTTATCAGCGTGCCGGACCCTGGCGCTCAAAGGTCGCCGAGCGCCAGCCAACACAACAGGGGCAGCGGGGCTTCGGAGGGGGGAGCCTGTGAGGTGTCTCCGTCCTGTGCCCCAAAGCCCGGGGACGCGCTCGGCTGGAGCCGGGGCTGAGCGGCGGGACGGGTTTTTCCGCAGCCCCGGCGGGGGCAGCTCCGGTGCCCAGGGCTCGCCGGCACAGCTGTGGTCACTGCGCGGGGAGCGCGGCGCTGTGTGGCCTCCCTGGTTGTCCCCGAGGGCCTGGGAGGGAGCAGAGGGCGGCCAGGTCCTTGGTGCTGGCACCATCCGTGCTGCCCGGGGCGCAGTCCACCTCTGACACGTGCCACGGCTCCGGGGGGGTAAAAGCCCCCTGGGCTGGGTGGGGGCAGAGCCACCTTCAAAGCAGCGGAGCAAACAGCCACGTGATGCCTGTGGCAACACTGTAGTGACACAAGAAGGGACCTTTGGTCCCGGTGGTGCTGTCAACGTGGCCATGGGGCAGTGTCGCAGCCCCCCCAGAACGCCGTGGAGCTGTCTGCACCCGCCTGCACACCCACAACAGCTCCGATCCCCACCCGATTCTGTGCCCCAGCTCTCCATACCTGCACCTCCGGGACACTCCTGTTCCCTCACCTGCTCCCCAGGGACACCTGTCGAGTTTGGCACCAGGGGGCTGGGGATGAGCAAACACGAGCACTCAGCCAGGAGAGCCACTGGCCCTGCAGCTCCTGGGGACTCATTCCCCGACAGTTCTGCCAGCACCAGCAGTGCTGAAGCCCCTGGAAACAGGAAAGCTGGGAGAGCCGTGGAAGCACCTGCCCTTCCCCTTCCCAGACCAGCCCAGGGCTTTGCACCAGCACCAAGCTCACACATCACTTGCATGCTTCTTTTTTTTATAGATGTATTTTTAGGAATTGTGCGGAGAGGAGCAGAGGTGGCACGGGAGGAACACCGCTGGCATGGGGTCCCCCACGGGCCAGGGACTGTGCTCAGTGCAAGGGGGTGAACTTGCAGATGTAGTGATGCTTCTGGGTGCAGTTGGTACTGGACCACTGACTGAAGCCTGTTGGAGAGATGGGCCAGGGGTTGGTGGGGGCCACGGTTAGAACAGGGGCACCCACTGTGCCCACTGCAGCCACCCCAGAGGGCCAGGACCCAGAGGAGGAGGGAGGAGGGGAATGCCAGCCAAGAGCAGGCACTGAATGTGGGTGTGGGGTGTGGGCACTCACTGCTCTGGTGGGTCAACACGCCGCATTTCCCCCCTCGGGCACCGTTCCCAGACAGCCCACTGGCAACGCTGTACGTGTCCCCACCTGCCCACTTCCAGGCCTGGCTCTGTGAAGAGAGAGGAGATTCAGGGGCCTGGCTCTGATGCCCTCCAGCCCCTCATCAACCCTGTAGCCCCTGCCTCACCTCTTCACTGTAGTGGAGCCCGAGCCAGACAGGCTGCACGCGCTGGTAGTAGGAGATGGACTTCTGCAGGGTGGTGGCCTCGCGCTGGTCCTCCACCCAGGCCAGGTGGGCACCGTCCTGGACGGCCTGGCACTGCCTCTGCAGGGAGAGCAGTCAGTGCTGGGGCACCTCAAGGAGATTGGGGGTCCTCATCCACCTGTGTGTCCTGGTGGGTTTACCTCAGCCTCATCCCAGGTCTGGACATCAGAGAAGTACTTGAAGCAGTTGAGCTTGTAGTAGGACCAGCCGTCAGGGCAGTAGTTTATGTACCTGCCAGCTGCAGATGGAGAGCAGTGCGGAGGGATGGGGGACAGCCAGCATTGCTGGCTGGAGAGGAGCATGGCTCCCCCCTGTCCCCACTACTGTCCCCCGAGCCGTGGGACTTACCTGCTGGCTGCAGGAGCCCCATGCAGCCCAGCAGCAGGAGGGCGAGTCTGGCCGCTGCCACCATCCTCCTCGATCCCTGTAAAGTCGCAGGGAGGTCACACGAGGCCCCCTGGGGACAGAGGATGCCACCTGTCCCCAGAGAGCGCAAACCCACCCTGCTGTGGGCTGAATCTGGCCCCTTTCAGCCATGTGGAGGAGATGGCAGGCTGCGCCTCCCTCTCTCCTCCCTGGCACAGGTCACTGTCCCGTGCCCATACCCCATGTCCCAGGCACGGCTGGGGTCCCCAGCCCACACTGGCCCCGCCAGTCCCAGCCTCAGCAGGAGGCATCTGGGTGAGCTGAGCTGCTCTGTGGGGACATGGGGAGAGTGCTGCCACAGGCACAGGGCAGGGGACCCCAGCCCTGCAGCAGCAGCAATGGCACAGGCAGGGTTGGGGCCAGTAGGGCTGCAGGGACTATGTGGTCGGCATCATTTCATGCCCTGAGCTCGTAGTCCTGCCTGGGTCGGGGAGACAAATCAGCCTCATCAGCGCAGTTCCCCTTTATGTGGGCTAATCCCTGGGTACTGGGGCCAATTTGCAGACTCAGCTTGTCTTCCCCTCAAAGAAGCAGTGACAAAAGTCAAAGCAGGGCTGAAAAATGCATCATAGCAGCCTGCCCCATCCAGAAAAGGGCAGAGATCAGATCCCCCAGCCAGGGCTGGGATCGGCTCCTGTTCACCCACAAGTCAGCTCTGAGCATCCCAAGGCCTCAGCTGTCCTGTGGTAGTCCTCTTCCTCACCTGTTGTCTGGAGATGCGGAGGAATAGCGGCTTGCCGTGGGTCAGTGGGAGAGGAGAAGAGAGGAGCTGCCCTTTTATAGCCTGGTGCTCATCAGCATCAGTGTTTGCCCAGCTCAGGTGATTCTCACCATAAAAGCCTTACTGCTAACTCCCCTCCATCCCCCCTGCTTTGCTGGATAATTGCCCAGACCTACAATTCTGTTTGTATTTAACATATCTGCAGAAGCAGAGAGGAAGAGCCTGTCCTAGTTGGTCAATAAACCCCCTGCAATTATCATAAATTGCTCCCGCGATACAGAGATAATCTTGCGGCTCAGAGCAGCCTGGCACATGACAGGGATGCCTGCTGGCCCCGCCCTCGCTGGACCGGAGACTGGCAGGGGTGAGCCCCCCGGGGGTGAGCCCCTGATCCCGACCAGAGCATCCCTGATCCCGGCCAGAGCGGTCGGGACACGGGGACCACCCGCTGGCACTGCCCGTGTCCCCATCTGAGGGATGGCACCCCGCCGGGCCCCACACCCTGCCCAGCTCTGCCATGCGTCACCCACACACCGCCCTTGTTTGAACTGTCGGGGGAGATCTGTGAGCAGGATGCAGGACGACGGGATGTGGGAACAGACTGCAGCCGGGGGCCGGCGGGTGCCATCAGATAGCGGTGTGGGTGCCCAGCCCCGGCGGTGACGCAGGGCTTTGTCACTCGGCGTCCCTCCAGGAGGAGGGGGCAGGTCCTGGAGCAGCAGCCCCCCACTGCCCCTGCGCCACGGGGGGAACCTGCAGCCCACAGAGGTGGGCTGTCCCCGGCCCCAGCAGCTGGAACCCTTCTGCAAGGGAAGGCACAGCCTTCTCTGCCGTGGTCCGTTCTCCTCACCCCGGGAAGTCCTCTGCCCCTGTGGGAGGCACCTTGAGTTCTCTACCCGGCAAACATGCCGCTCCGGAGAGTCTCTTCGCTGGCTCATAATGTACCAAAGTGGCTTTGAAAGCTCATCCTGCTGCCTGTCCCGTGGCTCCTGCAAAGCTGCCAGCTCCTGCCCAGCACCCTGCTGCTGCCAGCCCCAGCCAATGCCTGGCTCTCCTGCTCCCAACCCTCCCCAAAACCCTTGCAGGAGGCCACTGGGAGCTACCCAGGAGGCAGCTACCTGCAGAGGATCGAGACACAGAGCTGAGCCCTGCTTCTCCCAACATGGAGAACTTGCTGTAAGGATCAGCCATGTACCCCAGGGAGCTCCCATGGGATCTCTGTGGCAGCATTTGCTGAAACATGCAGAGTGAATGCTGCTGCACCCACAGGGAGCAGCTCCATGCTGGCATGCAGAGACAGGCCTGGCTTTTGCCCCAGAGAAGGAGGAGGATCAGACCCATCTCCTGGAGGCGCACAGCCAGGATACAGCTGCTGCTGCTTGCTAGGCACCCGCTGGGATCAAAGGTGTAAAACCTTCTTGTGTCCAAACACAGCTGCTGCCTGCTATCAGTTCTGAAAGAAACAACCCTCCAGAGCATGAATGCCCTGACTAATGGGGGAACTCCAGAAACGCAGTAACCCCACAGAAAACAAGGCTCCACCCTTAATTTATGAAAACTGTGAAACAAAGTTCCCCAAAGGAGCCTGAGGTTCCTCCTCTACTTCTTGGTTAGGTAAGTGATGCCCCAGCTCCGTGCGTGGCTGGCTCAGTTAGGCATGTTTGGATGCAACACAGCAAGTTTCCACAAGCCCCTGGCCATCCTGGGCTGGGGAACAGGAATGTGCTGTTCCCAAGGAGCAGCAGCTTCAAGTCTCAGCCTGAGCACCAGTAAACTCGACGCAGCTGTGCCAGAGGCTTAGCAGAGCTTGCTAAACTTTGGCACAGATGTGCAGGCTGTGGGAGAGCATGGATGAATGCCTCCCGGAGGTTTGGACTTGCCAAGCTGGCTCTACCAGAAGATAAAGGAGCTGTGCTGTTTGAATATTAAACCCTTAAAATGCCCCCAGCAGCTTTACCCCTGCTAGGCGTTGTAATTTAGCTACCAGCTCCATCCAAGTCCACAGCAAGAGCTGGAAAACAGCCAGGTGAGCACTAGTGGAGCCCAAGGCTTCAGTGGCTTCTCCACGCTCCAAATACAGCACAGCAGCTATTCACAGTTTGTTGTCTGATTGCCCAAGTCAAACCGTTCAAGTCTGAGACCAGGACAGAGGAGTCGTGATTCCCTCTTTCAGAGGCTGGAGAATCACACATCTTCATGCTCCTAGTCTGGAGAAGAGGAAGCTTGGGGGGAACCTTATCATTCTCTACTACCTAAAAGGAGGCTGTAGCCAGGTGGAGGTCGGTCTCTACCCTCAGGTAACAAGTGACAGGACGAGAGTAAATGGCTTCAAGCTGTATCATGGAAGGTTTAGATTGGATATTAGGGAAAATTTCTTCAGTGAAAGGGCAGTCAGGCAACGGATCAGGTTGCCCAGGAAGTGGTGGACTCACCACTCTTGGAAGCTATTCAGAAAACACCTGGCACCTGGAGACACGGATTAGTGGCGAACATGGTGGTGCTGGATTAATGGTAGGACCTGACCTTAGAGGGCTTTTCCAACCTTAAGGATTCCATGATTCTATGCATCAGCTGCTGAGACAAAGCCAGGGAGGCAGCCTCAGCTCCAGCAATGAGGGTCCTCTTCCCTGCTAGAAGAACAGCAAACAGATAAGGGAAGCAAGCAGGACCCAAGGGAGTGAATGAATGCACAGCTCCCACTAACCACCACCTGACCCACACTTCCTCACAACCTTTCTAAAAGCCACACAAACACCCCAGCCTTCTCTGCCTCCCAGACTCACAGGCAAATGAGAGCTCTTATGCAAAGTATCCAAGAAAGGCCCCATCCCAGTCCTTCCCTGTCTTTCCCAGTATGCCCAGCTGCTTGGCTCCCCTCTTCTCAGCCAACCAAGAGACCCAAAATCCGCCTGCTACACCCAAGCCAGGCTGCTTCCAGTTCCCTTGGGGGGTCTAAGTGGCAGGGTTCACATGCTGCTGAGATACAGAGCACTCCTGATTCCCAAAAGCTGTCTCCTGACATGGACTGTGAAGATGCCAACGAGTTCCCCCCTTGCCAGAGTCTGAACAGCTACTGACCACTGGTGATTCGTGTATATCTGGTGGCTGTGTAAGGTAGCCAGGAAGACAAATGAAAACAGCAGCACACAGACACTGGGCACGTACTTTTTATTCTGGGGATAAAAACTGCTTATACATTTGGCAGCAACTATTTTCATAAAAGACTTTTATAAAAAATGTAAAAATAAGCAAATATTTTCCATTATTAATATAGGAAAATGCTGCTGTGTGAATGGTTACTCTACAACTTACGAGATAAAATACCACCTTAAGGAGATATTATCTTTACAAGTAGTTAAAAAAAAAAAAAAAAAGAGAAAAAGGCAGAGGGCCATCGTATTAACAGGCCAGGCACGGAACTGACTTCATTCCACAGAAAGCACTCATCTTGTGAAAGGTAGCCACATATATAAAAAGGCACTTGGTTATTTGGGGCTAACAAGGAAAAGCCCTTTGTTTCTTTAGCATCGATGTAGCAACACTTCATTATTTGCAGTGAAATGTGTACCTGGACAGGCCCCCAGGAGGCTGCAGGCTCCTGCCTGGAGATCTGAGTCGGCTGCAGCTAAACTTCACGGGGCTCACTGCAGCGAGCGTGCCGGGGAACACTGTGTGCATTGTAAAAAGCAGTAACTTCAGAGAGAATTAAAAACTTCAGCCCAAAACAATGGCCCTGGGAACCAGCTCCTCCTGAGGCCCTGCCTTCATGTACCATTGAGTCGAGTTGGAAGAAAAAAAAAAAAAGTCAACTTTTACTCTTGATTAGAATGTAAAGAAACATCAGAGACAATACTGTACATGGTAAGGTGTTGGATGACCTGCTCGGAGGGGAGCAGCCTTCAGTCCTTTGGCAGCAGCCGACAGCACCGATCTCTTTGGAACACGTGTCTGCAGGGTTCCCCTGAAGAGGTAGGAGCAAACCATCCCCACAAATGTTCACTTCGGCTGCTGACTGGTTCGGAGCCCTTCAGGGAAGCGCTACTCTTGCAGACAAGGCAGAAAGAGCAGCTGTTTGTCTAAGGTCCGCGACAGCTGGCTTCCATTACTCCAAAACTATCGGGGGAGCTGCAGTATGAATGGTACTACTGTCCCACAGAGCACGTGGGGCAACTCAGCTGGGAAATCTTGACACAGGCTGAAGCTGAGAGCAGAGGACAGCCCCAAACCTGTGAACCAAACTGCATGAGGCAATGGTTTCTGAGTTATTTGGTCTGCTGCGAAAGCCCAGCTCCTGGCTTCAGGCACACCGCTGCTGCTGCTG